AAAGCGAGTCGCTAGCTTCTTGATCTGCTCCACCGCTCGTTCTGCCGAACGGAGCAACTCGGTAATTAGGTGGACTTGTCCGCCTGGTCCCCCCAAAACGAAATTTTCGCTGCCTTTGAGGTGTTCTCCATCGTTTCTCAAAGCGTCGAAGACAGAAACTTGTCGATGTATGGCTTCTAGCGTCAAAGTTAGGTCGTTTTCGAAATCACTGATCGATGGCTGTTGAAGATATTTGTAAATATAGAAGAAGTCGCCGTCCATCGTTTGTAGGCCCATTCTGGAATGTAAGTTTCTGAGGTTTTTCGCATCTACTACTACGCTAAATATCTCTTTGTTAACTACACACATTTGTCCTAGCTGTTTTTTACCATACTTTCTCGTGCGTTTGGTGTAATTGTCTGCGAAAGGGATACATAGCTACAAGAAAAAGCAGCCGCAAAGGGAAAGTCACGACACGGGAGATGGTTTTAATTGCCCATTTTGTAACTCGTATTCCATATGCGGATATCACAATATAGGTCAGCGCGAGTAGTACAAGTAGCGCGAAGACTGCGGCAAGTAGCGTCTTGTACCACACGAGGAATACATCCAGGATATGTGCAAAATCGGGCCAATGAAATCCACCAGCTCCGCTAGTTGTTTCACCTCTCAGCCACATGTCTGCCATGCCGGATGCCGTATGAGGATATTTCAGCAGGCCGGCCAATTCGAAAAAGGTGTCGGATTTCCCGCAAGACGCTCTGCATCGTTGGTAGATTCGGGCATTCTCAAAACTGAAGCGTAGCGACGTCGTCTTTCCGTTCTGGTTGCATTCGACTGTAAAACTCAGTGTTTCGCAATTAACCTCAGCTTGGGTTGGTCTGGATGAGGTACATACGATGGTCGCTTCCGCTCCTTTTGCGCAATTGTAGCAACCGGTTAAATGGACATTCTCGATTTCGCAAGTAGCCTTATCGACAAGGATGTCGGTTTTCAGGTTACCTTGCATGGTCATTATTATTTCTGCTGTTGTCATGCTAGAGATGGATGCTTGAACTTGTCCTTCTCTATTTCTTCTGAAGATAGCCGAGGAATATACGACAGGAAGTCGGTGTCGTAAGTCTTGGGTCCAAGCCGTAATGTTGAGGTCTTTGCAATTGCAATTCATTTGTGTTTCTGCTGGATAGCAGACGCACTTGTTTGTCATTGTGCAATTGAATTTCTCTGCCGCAAATCTGTTTGGACATTGTACTGTTGGTATTAGTTGAGGATTCCACAGTGCTGTGGAAGTGCCATCAGTGATAAAAAGGGAGTTCAGTAAAGGAGTCGGAGCAGTCTTCACTAACGACAAAGTTAGCGTGAATGAGTCCCAAACAAGCGGGACGTTGGGTATCAAGTGGGCCGTATAGGATTTCGTTTTCTCTTGAAGTATATCCGTATGTGTGAACTTGACTTTTGCCGCTTCTCTCCACCGGTTGCAGCGGAAGATCTCGTATGTATTTGCAGAAGTGGGAGTAACATAGATGCGGTAAAGTAGGCATCCTGAACTAAAACTGAAGCAACCACAACCGAAACCTCCGCACGACTCCACGCACATGGTTATCCCCGGGTACGAGTTCCCTTCTTTGAGCTCTTCTAGAAGACTTGTCTCGTTGATCCCAGCGCATTTCTGATCGACGCATGAGCCCGAGTGGGCACATCTCTTACTACTGATCACGCGATAATTTGCATCCCGTGTGAAAGATATCACTTCGGGTTCACATCGTAAGGATAGTGTGTGCCACTCGGCGCGGAGTTCGTGAATAGAAGCGTTTCCTTTGACCAACCTGAAGCAGGCTTCTTTCCGGAAGCTGTTGAGCTTCAAAACGTCAGAGAGGTGGACTCTGCATATGTTGCCCTGTCCGGAGTTTTCGCAGACTGTGGAGGTGTGCGAAAATATGTCAACTTGCTGGCAGCCTTCTCCATGGTGATGCTGACAAAGGATCAGTAAGGCGATGGCTAGAAGTTCTACTAGGTCAGCAGGTCTTCGTCTGTGTCCTCTTCGTCTTATGTTGTCCAGACGTCGGAGGACGTTACCGATGATGCGAGCGATGCCGCGCCATCCCCAACTTGTCACTATGCGCACCGGACTTCCTATCACGAGTGGAACGTAAAGAAAGACGTAACACCCGGTGATGAGAAAGTAAATCAGAGCGGCCGTAGCTAGGATCGCTCCGGCAGGCCAACATTCCGGATTGAATATGACTGCTGAGCAAAGGCTACAGTCAAGGTGATCACAGAATGGTGCCGCAGGGCAAACCGTTTCGATGATCCCCAAAGAATCTTTGGCGAACTTCCACCGTACCTGGTGTTCATTGAGAACTACTTGTGGTGGGAATTTTACTATTTCGGTGTGGTTTGGTCGTTCGTAGGTGCTGCAGTACTCGTCCCCACAGATTTGAAAGGGCAAGGAGGGGATAGTTCTCAGCTCTACTCCTCCAGGAATGCAACGTATAGAAAAAGGTTGCTCGGTAGTTGTAGATGTTGTTGGTGCTACTACAAAGGAGATGATCAGCATAATCGATGTCATGGAAAGTTGTCGGGCTAACTGGATTGAATTAAGGCCGTAG